ATTATTATTTTTTTATATATATATATATATATATATATATATATATATATATATATATATATATATATATATCATTGGGATAAACCGTCGTGCAGCTTTTTTAAAATTCTCACGCGATTATATCCGTAATCAGATAAAAGCTGTGAAAATATGTATATAATTATAAATTGTTTAAAAAGATATATATATATATATCAACGGAAGAGGATTAAATCACGCGTATGATCGTACCGCTTTCATACCGCCTTTACGGCTTTATTCGCCTTCTCTCTGTTGTATCGAATGGTAATATTACTCGCAACTTTTGCTTCGCTCACTTCAATATTACAAATATATTTTAAAATATTTTTTCAAATATTTATGTTTTCCTTCAGCTTTCACGCGAGGCGAAGCTTCGCGAGGGGAATAATATTTTCAAGAATCTCCAGAAAGCCTTTGAAATCCTCAAAATATCGCGCGACTCGGAAAAGCAGGAACATTTTCATCCCGCGATACGGCATAAAAACTGCCGATTCAGCAGCTGGTGTTTTATTCGTCCGTTGTTCTCAGGAAAATGCGATATCGTCGTGATGGAAAAGTTTAAACGGGGCAGAATGCAATTTGTTTGCCTATACGCGTTAGAATAGAGAAAAATATTTCTTTAGTTTAGTAGCTGCGTTTATCTGCGTATCAGCTACTCTCCCTCCCCCCCTCCCCCGTGCATACCCCGTTTGCATAAAGATCAAGTGTTGGAATTAATAAATTACGCGCGACTACAAATCACAGAAAAAAATGTCTCTTTATTCTAAAGCGTGTAAATTTCCTTCTTCGATTGTAAATAGAAAATTTAATTGTAAAATCATTACTCGCGATGATTATTATTAAGGGTGTTGTGACAATAATTTTGTAACTTTCTGCGGCACGTTCCATACATATTTAATTCATTAATTTATATTAATTTTGAATTAATTAAGTTTGATATTTTGTTTGCGTTGGAATTATTTTATTATAATTTATTATTATTATTATTATTATTATTATTATTATTATATAAATCATTTAGAGAATAAAATAATATACCATATAATTTACCAATATAAATTTTTTAAAATTCTTATATATACATAATTTTGAGATTTTATGTCACAACATAATATGCAATAAAAGACTTGAATTTATTACAAATATTTATTACAAATATATTCATATAAATTATTGAAGTATCTCGTAAAGAATTTGAAATTTTAATAAACCAGTTATCTCAGTAAAGCGATTAATATATGAAATGAATGCGGTCGTTTGTGTCGTCGAAATATGATAAATTATTGTTTGCTAAGCATTCGTTGCTAGGAAATGACGTCAATTTATAACAAGGAATTTTGTTGAGCTCACGTAAAATTTTCAATTACATTCGCATAAGCACCGTTATCCCGATTGTTATTTCATTGTCATAAACGTATTCGCGCGTTGGCGGTTTTTACATACGTAGAAAATTTCACATGGATTATTACGTTTATTTATTCGACGGAGTTAGCGGGATAACCTGCCATAAAATAACGTAATATTTGTTTTGTATTGTGCGCAATGCGTTTTCCAGCAATTTTTTTGCAGCAACGTTATTTTATGTGTAAGTCTTCCGTATCTTTCCAGGAAAATCCTGAACAAAGAAAAAGCGCATGTTATAATTATTTGATTATGACAAAACAAATTGGATTTTGCATCACAATTCTGACGCATAAGGAATCGAAATAATGTTCCAGGAATTATATTGACTACTTCATTAATTACAGGAAAATTGAAAATTATAACGATATAAGCGTGCATTTCATTACATACATGAACTATAGATAAATGTGCGCATATGCGCTTTACGGAATTCAGCTATAATCTGATTGTTAAGGCTAATGTTGTAATATTAAAACATTCTTCTCGGAGCGGCAATTTTCAGTCATTTTATACATATTTATATATATATATATATATATATGCAGTTTTTTTAGTTAAGTCTTAATTAACTTAATTTACTTAATTTTTATTAAGAACTTAATTTTATATTGTATACATATATATAAAAGTCTCTCTTGCGGAGACTTGTCAACTATTTCCTCGTAAATTGAGAATTATTTCATGAGCAGTTCACCCTTGAAAATGCGCATTTTGAACGTACAAACTACAGTCCCACTTTCCTCGCTGCGATATTGTATATCGCTCGTCAGTTCGCGAAGCCTCATTTTGCCGTGTGATATCCGGATGTTTATTTTCGTGCCCTCTCATTCTGCCAAAATGAGGCACACCGCGGAAATTAAACTCGAGAATAATGAGTTAATTTGAACTCGCGATTAGTTAACTCCACTTCTGCTCCGACTTGTGAACGCCTGACTAGTTTCGCGCGTGGAATTGCATCGAATTTTTCAACTGCAGTAAACGCTTGTAATAGAAACGGCACGATATAATGATAAAGATTATAATTATTTTCCTTGATTTTCCTGAATTTCTTCCTTAATTTTCTTTCCTTTCAATTATACTAATCACGTTTCACTGCGAATGATTTGCACACTTTCACACATTTAAATATCCTTTTAAAAAATATAAAAAATATAAATATTTTACGATTGCAACTATTTTTAAAAATATATAACAAATTATTGATTTCGTAACAAATTAGAAATTCGTGAATACGAAGTTATTATTTCAGTTAGAAAAGGGAAGAAAGTCATAAGAATAAAATAACCTTTTTATTTGAATCTAGTTGTAATAATAAGGAGTATATTATATTTGTAAGTTACACAATTGTATCGTTATGCGAGTTAACGTATACAATCTTTAGTTGAACGAACTATTGAATTTCTGATTACATCGATATCTCGCAAGAATTTCAGGAAGTTAATATCAAAGCAACGAAGTATCTTACACATTGCCAAGCTGAACTTGAGCTCACATGCGTAGAATATTTTGGCACTACCTTCATTATTCTACGCCTGTTTACGTCAGTTACAAGAATGCGAAATCTTCGTTGAAGAAGCCGCGTGATTCGCGAAACTTGTCGACAAAGTACATTCCGAAAATTCCACCTCGCGGAAATTTCGTTTCGCGCAGAAACCCTCTTTCCCCCCTTTCGTGCTCGTGTGATCAGAAGGAGTTAGAGAGAGAGAG